CATCAACCAGATGCCAAATCACCCAGGCTCAAACCACATGGATGAGCCCCATCCACTCACATTAAAAAATTTTTCTTCCTGTCCAGGCTATGACTATACAACAAAAGCGGTGAACTATCCAACCAACACAGGTTTCCAACACTGACTTGTGGCAAAACTAACTCACCCCAATCGCTTGTCTTTATTTCCATCTATTCCCACATGAGCATACACTGCCGTTTGTATCAGTGTAACGGTGCTACTACTGATCGGGAGGCACACGAGTAGTATGTGTTGTTCGTAGAATTTCGCTTTGCGTCGATTGAAAAATGGAATTCTGTTGTGGAATTCGCGGGGCCACTTTGTAACTTTTGCTTTTATTTGGCCGACGAATGATTGGGGGCAATGAATCTCCAGGAAGACTCGTTCGGGGAGATCTGTGTCCAGTTTTTGTAACTAAGGTGCAGATTAGAGTTTTGCTTCCTTGTTAAATGGTCTGTAACCGGTCAGTTGGCATTCCCGAATAAATAACTCCGCAGCGAAGGCCTTCTTCCTTTCATCAGTATGTTGTGCTATCACATCGCAACAACGGCTAGAAATTGAAGACATCCGGAGGTGTCTCAAACTTTAGGCAACAGCAAAACTGTAAAACCTAACACTTTCTAGTGCATCTGGCTACACTTATTTCCTTTCCAGGGTCACCAATTAGGTAACGGCTGCCTTATTATCTAAATTTCATGCGCTCTTATTGAACTGAACAAATACTAAGCTTCTTATTGACCTTATTCCTCTAAACTTTTGGGAGTAACCCCACAAATCATGGATGTATTAATCAACCTCAGATACTGGTCACATTTTTCAGTTCCACTGGGTTTGCCTGTTCACAACACAACCTGAATTTCCATGTCAGGAACCTGCTATATTTATCACTACGCTCAAGCGCGGTTCTTCATAGTCATTTTGCTGTCTGTGACTTCATCCGATAACCTAGCTGCTCACTGTAATCACAACTTTGCGGTGGTTGTTAAGTTCGTCAGAAACCTCCAAGTTTTATTTAATGTTATTTAACCTCTGATAGCGTCACTTCCACCACCCCGTAGACCAATTTCCCTCAGTCACAACGTAATGCCACACTATACCCAAGTCACCCGTTTCACCTTGCGCGCGTCGCGACATCCAATATGCTTAGATCGCAATCGTTTGGTGACAATGCTAGTTTCGGTATTACTGTTTCGGTTGGGCCATCCATATTTTATTTGACTCCTACACTTTCATGGACTCCCAAGCTACCATAACTGACAGTCCTTTCTCACTGTTCTTTTGAAATTACAACAGTGGACATATCTGACGGTATGTGTTTACCAGTGGGAACTAAACAGTACTGTCGCTAATTAGCCCTAGTGTCCTAAAGTAGAAATAGGCTGTAATATGCAGTGACAGAGCGCTCAGTCCAAACACTTGACGGGCAGTGCGTGTACATTATTTGAAGGGAAAAGCCCAACCAACCTAACCGTGCACGCAATCCGAGCACCATGTTTACCTCAGGTATTTACAGACACTGAGTGCGTTGAATCCGAGATCACAGTAGGCGGTACCCCATCCGGACGCTACATTATTCTTCACTGTAAATACCAGCAAATCGAATCATTTTCACTGGTTTGGCGTGCAACCAGTGGGGTATGGTACTGCAGTGCCACCGACGTACCTCGGGTTTTGGATAGCCCACTATTGAACGTCAAAGTCGCCGTGATTGGTCGAGGGTTCGTATTCCTGTGGAAGCTAGATCTGGGCTAGACAAGAGGAGCGACACATGCAGAGTCGGGCCAATGTAGACTCACAGGTTATTTTGATGCAGTTGGAGGTCCATATGAGTGTTGAGCGGAGGACCAGACGGAATGGATTTTTGGAGAAGCTATCGCCGAGGATATAAGACATTTAGGTCATTAGCTCAACCGACCAAGATTGTACAGCCTTGGTTAGAAATGTCCACCACACTGCCCTTTTACCCTTTATTACAGATTTATGTGCCCAAATGTAACTCTATCCTGAAAACAGGTGAGCAGTTTCTTTGGTTGAGGCTAGTTGGCTTATTCCGAGTCGTCCGACAGTCTTAATTCTCCAATAAGGTCAGTACCTACAGAGTAATCCAGTAACCCTGTCTCGATTAATAAGTTGTGTACCAAAGCGAACGGGTTCCCGCTTCCGCACTCTGGCTACCTAAGACAACCAACTAAGTGTGTGATAGCCACCCATGAAAGAAGTTTATGTGAATGCAGGCGGATTTGGTTTGAGAGGGTATCGACCATAATCTTATATGCAGTGTTCAGGCTTATCACATGTATCAAAACGTTGTTGACTGCAAAGTGGGCAATGACACTCCGGAGCATTTCACTTCGTTGAGTAACATCTTTCAGTGCCTCATCTGTAGAGCAGTAAGCCAACAAAACTAAGAGTGATTAAATAGAGGCAAAGTCAATCTAATGAAGAAGAATAAATGCAATGCACGATTTGCCAGTACACTTACCTGGTCGTCTTCATTCCGGTTATTTAATCTGTCATCCGCAGATAAGCACTCATCATTCCACATCCCATATCGCGTCGCGCCCCAATAGTTTTTGGGTTGCGAAAGAACCATACCAATTTTTAATGAAATCAACACACCGCTTACCGGAGACGTTGTTTGAGGACTAGCTAGCTGTCATTCCACATTCCATATCGCGTCGCGCCCCAATCGTTTTTGGGTTGCGAAAGAACTACACTAATTTTTAATGAAAGTAACACACCGCTTCCCGGAGACGTTGTTTGAGGACTAGCTAGCTCTGCAAGATTCTACCCTTCTAAATCCTGACACATGATGAATCCCACCCGAAGATCTGTTGGTTTATCCCCATACAAGTAGATAGGGCTTGTGCGCCATGCCCGAAATGTGGACCCATTTTGTCAAGTTACTGGGTTCTGACAATCGTCTTTTCTCTAACAAGGGTCTTTTAGCTCTTCCTCATGATGTGTTATTCTTTTGTAGATTATATTTCTGCTGTCATAGTCGACGCTATTTTAATATATCCAGCGCATCCTTCTAAGTAATTTGAGTTATCTTAACCCCATCTGATGCTTCTGTTTTTTCTAACCACTTAAAACGTTTTCTCTCGTGTTTGGCTGAATGTCCTTTATGCTCCTTTCTTTTGCCAGAATTCGAAATTCAGTAACAAAACTGAAACCCATAACTAACACAAAATGTCCCATCTGTTCGGTCGATTGAATGCAAAATATAACAACATTGAATTAAAATTCAAGCAGATTTTCAGGGACTAAAATGAGTGAATTAAAGCAGTTAGGCGGATAACATGAAGTAGTCTGCCTACATGGTGCTAGAAACGACCATTTCATTTTTTCGCAATAAAATTCTTTCATACTGGCTGACGACAGCACCTGTTGGTGTTTCTAGTGTTATCGTACAAATGAGCCCGGCGATATTTTTCTAGAAAGCTGTGGTGTAGGTGATGTTTTCGGACAGACCGTGCGCTTAGGATGGCACTGTCAAAACGAATGAGAGTGATAGGCTATGATAGCTTTCCGTCAGGAACTACTGGACAAAATCTAAAATGTTCATTGTACCGTAAAACATTTTGAACAATTCAGGCACGGTGCCCCGTACTTTAGTGAAACGGCTCTTGGCTTTTAACCGCAACAGCCTATGGTAGTTGGCCGGCAATATCAGGGAGGTCTGGATTATTATTAATTATTTTTCCATTTATATATTTTTTGTGATGGGCCAACCAGTTTTGTACCAAGTATCCCAGGAAAAGCCATCGTCTTTGAATGGTAGTGGTTTGGCGCATTCCGGTACCGAAGATGATTAGTCGATTCCCAGACAGGACTTGGGAAAATTTACCAGTAGTTGGAAGGCGTCTTACCTGTAGTCTTTGAGAAAAAGGTAGAATGCACTAGGAGCCGCGAGCAGAGACTCTGTTTCTCTTGTGAAACACCAGAAGACATCTCTTGTAACCGACGCTCCGCAAATATGTGCTGCAAACTCTCCAGCAAAGATTCACATGCTATACTCCAAAACAAAAATCATTGAGGTAGTAATCACGATAAAGGATTTCAAATGATGATATATCCTCATTATTTGCATGAGTTAGCATCGAACGTAGTGAGTGCATTTCGAATGCAACTATTGATGGTGTGGCTTTAATGGCAACTTAAATCCCTTCTGTGAGCGACATGATCCTTCAGGCCTCGTATGCAAACCAAATCAAACTTTATCATAAATTCCGTAAAAAACTGTTTTAAGCTTCAGCGAACATACACGCATTTGCAAACTAATTTGGTCTTTCGAGAGACTCACCTGTAACCCAGCTGGTTTCAAGTAGAACATGAGGTTGACGGAAACTCGGGGAGTGCGCCTACCTGATGAGCCCCAAGAAGGGCGAAACCGGTCATGGGCTGTCGAGGAGTTTTCAGCAACCCTATGAGTAGTGCATTACAAAAAAATGTTTTAAGTTTTCTGAATATGAAACAGTGCACAGGAACTCGTGATCAACGGGTGTCACAGTTGGTATTTTACGTACTATACTGTTACGAGATTTTGAGATTTTTTTTAAATCCTCTGTTTACTATTTACCTTCCGGCTTCTCAGTTACCTTACATACCACCGCTCTATTCAGAAAGTGCAGGAATTGCCTTGTGTTCGATAGTCTAGGCTTCGTAGATATGGCACCGTCGAAAAAAAATACAGATTTAATGACAGCATCGCAAATGATGTAACTTTATTCCGTTCTGTTTGCGCATAAAGTACAGTACGGTGGTTTAAAGAAGAAACATCTAAAACAGTGCGGTAATACTGGTGTGAGAAAAAATTTTCACAAACCCAGTGGTATGCTATGGTAGGTAGAAAACTATAAAAATATCTTTTTTTTTTGGGGGGGGGGAATTGCTTATTGAAGGGATGATTCTAGAATTGGTCGACCGCTTTGGGTTTTGCCAGCTACGCATATGTTCATGGAGCTTTCAACATACCTGTTTTGCTTGCCAAACGATCTTCACATTTTGCCAGATCTATTATCATTTTTGACCACAGAATGGGGTCATGAACAGAAATTACAAATTCAAAATCGCCTATATCTGAGCAGGACTGTTGGTTTTCCATCAGAGGTCGGTAATAGAACCCAACTTCCATTGGAGACCATTCTTCTCCCCCACGCAGTCCTTGATCACACAACATAGTTTCAGGCTGCAGCTGCGTGGAATCCTCCGCGTCAGAGCTTAGAAATATGGCGATCTTGGGGGTGCACAAACCTGTGCGGTTCCTGAAGTGAAAAAATACGTGAGATATAACCTTATCTTTGATGCGCTAAACAACTAGAACTGTCATCATGTCTACAAAATTTTCACTAAAGAGGCCAACAAAGTAGCCAGATCTACTCATCTTCACCTGATTGTTCCTTGTTTCATTTTCTGTTACCAAGACTTCGAAGGACTGCATTCGCAAAAATAAAATTTAGGGGAATGATCCTTTAAACAGAAGAATATTCAAGTGATGTTTTGGAAAGTCATCTGATATTTTATCTCAGGAAGCTGGAGGGATGAAGGGTCGGTAGTATTATCTGGCGAAAATTTTGTGGATAGTACCTTTAATCTAAAAATGACGATAAAGATAGCATGCCAAATGAAAGTTCGGAGCTTTAGACCACCCGATCTGTTGGAACCAATATGCAGCAAGCACGAGTTAACTCTCTTTTTTCAATAGCTTAATGAAAATGAGTAAGGTATAAAGCTCAACTGATTCAAATGTAAGCGTTTTGATTGAATGGTTTGACCAGATTACCATATATTGACTTATATTACACGAAAGTGGTAGTGATCAACGAAAGAGAATAAATAAATTCCGGAGATTCTAAAGGTTAGATCCATTGACAAATATGGTTCAATAGCACAGTCAGTTGTGCGCAGACATTCAAGCTGTTGCCTTCAATGCATGGATTTGCCTTCTGATCTCTGGGAAAATTCAATCGATACTCATGGATTAATCCTCACTTATATCAGTTACTGCCTCCGATACGTGGCTCTTCACCTCTGTCTTCTCATATCACTAGGTGAAGGAAAGTGTGGTAGCTATAACGATTGTACATTATGTGCGATCTTTACTTCTGAAGATGCCCTTCATTATAATGACTGGAGGCCATAAAACAAAGTACAGTGCTAAGCACATTAACCCAACCGGCAACCCCCAAAACAACTGTAGGAGCTGTGTTTGGATAATTAAATATCTTGACAAGCTTTGATACCTAGTTGATTCACTGGGAGCTGGAATACCCTGCTCAAACATCGATCACCTTAGACGTTATATTTTAGGTTTTATGCCATCAGGTTGTCTGCCCTGAACAACTATTTACTTACCATGTATGACAGATACGTGACAAGGCACTCAGTAGGCACTCGCCAATTTCAGTAGTCGTTCTACACGCCATTTACATACAAGTGGTTGCAACTTCAATTAAACTGTACCAATTCGTATATAGCTACAACATGACTAGAAGTGGTACGGTGTAGATGACCGAAAAATCGATCGGAGTACATGGTAGACATAAATAGGTGAGCTTCAAATCCTATATGTAACAGCACAAACTGTCTGGTCTGATGGGGTGGTAATGAATCTTTCGTGATTCATTCAAATGAAATGACTGTTCCCGTGGAAACCTGTGGCCTGAATTTATGCGCTATCGGATGGAAGACGATTTGTTTTTTTCTTTTCTCGTTGTATACAACAAGATTACTCGTTTTGTAGTTTTCGTTTTTGTCTATACTTCATTTCATGTTTAGCCGCTCTTGGACCTAGTTTACTACAACAGCGCGGGTTTCGTCATCTTGCGGTCACTTTGTCTCCGATCGGCCTGAACGTTGGATGGGTGTAGTTTCCTGTCCAACTATTTGTGCAGTATCTTAATTAGGGTTCACAATACCGAACGTGGTGCATCGAAGCCGGCGTAACCCCAAGATCTGTGTTTTGCAAAAATTTTATTATTTTATTATTGTATTCATAGTACCGTCTTTGTTGACAAACCTCCACTTGAATGAGCCGACTTTTGCGCGTAACTCGTGACAAGCAGTATAATGGGCTTTTTTCAGTGAGTAGTGTGTATAGGTGGGAGATGCTTTAAGTTCGAGATTATGAACAAACCGACGCACTCTAAGCGATCATCAAACAAAAAGTGTCACTCGGCAATTTGAATAGGAGAGAAGACTGTAGGAGTCCATCAGGTGACCTTATTTTACTCGAGGTGTGTTTGCTATCTTTGTGTCAGGTGACAAGATAATGAAGTTCCAGATGAAGCGGTTTCAAACGGCACTCACATAGTTCAATGAACAAAACGGGTGCCCCTACTTATCAAGAGCGTTTCGCTTTTAGTGCCCTTACGAACGTTTATGCTAAAGGCTGATAATGAGTCAGTCAGACGGGCTTACCTGATAATGTCAGCCAGACCCTCCGAGTACGTGTTGACTGATATACTCCGCGAGAAGTGATATGGGTGCTCCGAAATCTCCAGGCAGCTGAGGCAGTAAAATCTGGCCAAAATCCATCTAAAGTGGATAACAAGAAAGAAACCAACCAGACGCTTAGAGGTATTTGTTTGGTCTTATCTGTGCTGTATTCAATGAAAGATTATGTCTGAGATTTTCCGCACAATGTCTTCTAGGTGAATGAGCCCATGTCACTGATGAACCTTTGTCCTTTTATTTGACTTATCTTAAAATATGGGCAATACTCTGTTTAATGTCCTCAACTTCGAATCTTAAATGTGACCAAGGAAACACTGCGAGTGTTATGCCCCACAGGATTTCTCAACGCTTATCCTTCCCTTTCTTTAAACCCATGGGTCAAATTGTGCAGTCTGACGTCGACGTCTTCATTGTCGGTAGTTAATACTCTCTGAAACGATTTAACTGACTGTGCCCAATTTCGTGAGGCATCCAGCATAACGGTAGTTTTTTCACTAAATAGGTAAATACTGTACTAGAAGTGGTGTCTAAATTCTGCCATCCTACGCTATCGAATAAGCCAAAAAAACTTCTGATAACCGTCCAATATGTTGTGCTGCACAGTGACAACTGAGAAGGTGTGGAACTAAGGACTGGTATTTCGACTGGTATTCCAGATTCACTATCACGATGGGCTTCAAGTTGAAGTACGTGCGCAAAGCAAATGCTGAATTGGTTATTTGTGGTGCTGAATTCAGTGGGCGGTTGTCATACTAAGCTGCAGCACCCTCCCCAAGGATAGGTCCGATAAACAGGTATGTTTTCACAGTTTATACCATCGTTCTGGGTGTTCTGGTGAGGGTTTTCTCCATAAAACGGTTCTAACGTTCCACACTACACAACCTGATAGATATGATATTCCGAGGGCGTATATTTCGTGCTTCCATAACCAATTACCTTGGCGCATCTTTTGTTAGATAAATTGTTACATTACTTGAAATTTGTGTATTGTCTCATCTAATTTAACCTTCGGTAGATCGACCACTGCAATGAGCCTCTTCTGTAGATACTGGTCCAGCAGCAGTCAACAGTTCGCTGAAACCAATGCGGCCATATCACTTTGGAATTATTTTTTGAAAAACAAATAAGACAGAAAAAGCAGACCAAGAAAGTTCGACTGCCCAAGTTGCACAAACAGAATTGTCTTTTACCTTCAATCCTAAAGATGCAGGTTTTGTCAAGAAAATGTTGCAGTGTTGAGGACATTGGGTTTTCTTTGTACTGCGAAAAACTCAAACGTCGCAACACTGCGCTCGATGTGGCCTCTGCATTTGTTAGCACCTCCGTATTGGAAACTGTTAGCTGTCGCCCAAAATGACAATAACTAGAAGAGTGATTACCAGGTTCCAGTAGCCACCACGTGAGCCAAGAAGATCGGTATGCATCGCACCTTATTTCCTCACCCCAAATTGAAGGCAAAACGTTAACGATGGCTGAGTAAATGAGGCCATGTAGTAGCTGAATAAAGCTGGCGATTTTAAGATGGAACCCTCCATACAATCTTAAAATGGCATAGTATCCCACGTTTGATTACACTTAGGCGAGTTTGACAATTTGCAATTGAATGAATTGTTTTCCCTTAGTATCTTATCATTCTCTTGCTTGGTGTAACAATCGGTCGTTTATTTGTTCACAAGTTAGGCTTCAGGCGCGTCTTCATTATAAGAAACGAAGTAAAATATCCTTCCAGAATGGGAAAACTGAACGTCTTAAAACACTTCATGCTCAAGGATCTCATTTACATGAAATATTCCGGAAACCCACTTTCACCAGGGCGAAAACTAACGAAACATTGCTCGTGCCAACGTGGTATTTTAAGCAGTGCTCCCTTTATTTTTATTGGCAAACATACAACTACAATTCACCGCAATATTTACCACTCCAGAATGATTCTGTGTTTATTTACCTGAGGAAATATATACAGTCTTTCCAACATACAGGCCTTAAGAAATATGATCGATTGTTTCTTGGGGATAGTGAAAGTTTTTACGGACAATGTCTCTTATTATTAACGACAAATGTAGTCTCTCTTGGCTCTACATGCTTTTGTGCCTTTCAGCTAGACTCCTAGCTTCTCATTTTGCTAAAAGATTCAACCGACACTCATTCCATTAAATTAGAAGTATAAAGTGAACGATTAGGAAGATCACCCAAAGTTGGGGAGCGGACAAACATTTCAAAGCGACTATGGGTTCATTCCTTATTATCGCGGTCATTTTACCTAGTTCACTCCAGAAGTCATGCAGAGAGGAATAATTATCAAGACCGGCACGTTCTTCAAGGGCAAGTGTTGTCAACATTTTGGAATTTTTGAACGTTTCAGTCTGTAGGTAACAATATAGTAATGGTTAGCCAGGATTTTTACGTGATTTTGTTGTTTAACTGTTTAACTGACCCCTACTTATCCAGAGGTAAAAATCCCGGTGGTCATCAGGAGAATGTTCTCATGCAGGAATGGTGAGTGATTCACGTCACAGTGGATTAAGTTCACGCTATGGAAAATAACTGATTTCAGAAAAAAGGGTGACTCTGAAAAAAGAGTATTTGTTGCGTTGGATAGCAAGAGATCAAGGGAGGGTTCACCAAAGAGATAAATTAGCGGAAATTGAAACATCCTTTGAACATCAGATTCTCCTTTCCATAGTGTCAGATTCTATTATTCTAGACAAGGTTCAAGGACGTTACTATGCTGTAGTCAGTCCTGTTGAACTAACCATAACAATAAAGTTAAACGTTGATAAAGGCTACAAATAGGGCGTCAAATCTCATCCTCTGTGTACCAGCTATTCTAATATCCTAAGATGCAGAAAAATCGTCGTCCAATGCAGTGAGTGCATTGACATATCTGTTAGGTTGTGGACTGCTTATGAAGGCGTATGATTTAGACATCAATATTCTTCTCAAAAGCTGTCAGTCTAGTCTTTAACAATTTTCCGGTTTCTTTAGTTTCCCACGCTACTTTGTCTAACGGCCATCTGATTGTTACTTTCTGCCTACCGTTTCTACCGAAATACCTCCGTGAAGCGACTCTCCACCGAATACGACTCTCTGGCTGCACAAGCATCACGTGATTGAGCTACAGTAGTACGATAGTCATCGTAACACGGCCGAATCAATTTTGTGCTTTCAAATGATTCTCATTCAATGAATGGAAATCTCAGCTGCAATCGCTTTAATGACTCCCTTTGAACAGCGTGGTAAACAAAATACACACTGGTAAACCATAACAAACTGGGTATTCTACTAATTAACTTGAAGATAATCTGCACTGCGGTGTTTAAAAGCCAACGTGTGGGTCCGTTTCAGCATTACGTTCTCAAGTGATAGGAGAGAAACATCATCTAATGTAGAATAATCGTATTGGTTGCTTTCAGCAGAGAGGTTAGGTGAAAGTTTGCGTCCGCTTTGCCTTTACTTAGAAGTGTGAACTGACTCAATAATCCAGCCACCCTTGCTACTCTCTATAAGGTCATTGTAACTTCTGGCTTCAACGTTATGATGAGTAAATAAACATAGCTAGTCCACCAAAATTGACAGTTAGTGGATTAAGACTGCAAAATTTACAAACTTTGATCCTAACCTCTTTGTCTTAAAAGAATAAGTTGATTGGTACCAAAAATAACAAATCGGGTTCGTCTGAACGATTTCAGGGCTTATTGTGTGGAGGTTGAAAAACTTGTGCACATGCGGGAACCAAACCATTTGGCAAACTAAACTCAGTTTATGATAACCATCATCCTTTGGAAAGTCAAAAATTCATCTGTCGTGCATAATGGTTCATTACTGAGGCTTTGAGAGAAAAGGAATGGAGGTGACATAGTGGAAATCTCACATCTTTCGGGGGGGGGGCAAGCAAAATGGCTACGCCTTAAGACAGCATCAAGACGAAAACGTTAGAGCATCATAGTTTGATAATATGCAATTAAGAAGACCGGTTCAACATCTTTTGAAAATGTCAGCGGTGAATTTAGCACATGACGACAAACAACCTATAGAAAGGCTACAGAGCGGCAACATGGCAACCGCTAGGATCTGTAAAGAGCCATGTCCTATATTTTGTACCAGTGTACGAGATTGGTTCAGCTAAAACCTGTTCACCAAGAGAAACTGCTCATTTGCAGAAGTGCTGAATTTCGCTACACAATGCTTGTTAGAGTTATGTCCGATGGAATGGAACCACAAACCAATAAACATGAAGAACTGTCAAATTTGACATGCATGAACGAGGCGTGTTCGATCTAACGCTGCATTCATCTATGTTCGGTGACATCGGTCTTTACGAAATGGTCGTCAGAAACTTTACGGACTAGAAAGATGCGCTCCTCGAATAACCTCCAGAGTTCTCCCAATAACAAAACAGGATCATCATTCAACTAGAAAAGTTTCTAGATGACTTTCATGGTTTTGCATTAGTAGCGCGAAAATTTTTCAGACTTATCGCAGACGAACCATCATATGAATGAGCCCAGAGTGATGCCAACACGCTGCAATACTGTCGAACGAAAATTAAAAATAGCATACACCATAAGTTTGTTCATTTAGTGTTCCAATCCACCATTTCACTGCGGGGTTTTAAGTATTCACTTAAAGACTAAGAGACAAAAACGATGAAATTTTGTTTCAGAACTTCTAAATTACTCTGATAATGCAGACAAAAACCCAAAACTCTTGGAGAAAAAATGGTACTCGCTTTGGGTACTTTCTTCCTTCTTTTGCGACCTTACGAGCCGGTTGTTTTTAGAGCAACAAAACTACCATTATATTAAGTCCAAATAACCTGGTCAAGTGTGGTCGGTGCCCGTAAATGGGGCTTAACGAGAAAACAATGGTACTGATGTTGTTGACTTGGGATAATATGCTCGAACAACCAGTTTCTAGAAACGTAAAGTTGACATTAAGCACGGCCAGGACGTGTAGAAAAAGTTCTATTACGGATATATTTATACGCGTTTGTTTTTAAACTGAATGCAAGATAAAATAATGACGTTTTCACTCACTGTGGGGCCGGCAAGATTTCCTTTTTGGAAAGTGCTTTCGCTCGG